TTCATTCTTAAATATTAATATATATGTATATTTTTTTTGATGTACATTTTAGTCCTCGAGTTATACTTATCGAACATACTGGTAAATTGGTTGGTCTCATTACAGTAAAAGATGTATTGAAATATATTGCAAGAAGAGAAGCTGAAGAAGAAAGTATTAGAATTTACAATGCTTCTAGTTTAATAGAATTAACAAACAACAATAATAATGATTCACCTGAAGAAAATAGAAATTTGAGATCACCGATGAATAAAAAACGAGGTTCAGTCTCGTTTTTAGAGTTGGGGAAAAGTAGAGATAGTGATTTATAAATATATTCTTCTAAAGTTATTTATTACTTATGATAATAAGGTACAAACGGGGGCAGTGGGAATTTTATATTGTAATTTAATTTTTTTTTTATTAGTGTATTCATTAAAAAAATTTTTTTTTTTTATAATAAAATTTTATATAGAATGGTAATTGAACATTTTAATTATATAAATGAATAAATTAATAGATTAAATAATAAAAATTTGTTATAAACTTTCCAATATTTCTTCATTGCTTAAATTTAAAACTTTAAATTTGCTTCTGTAATCATCCCAATTTAAATATGCCCCAATTAATCTTCGATGTCCAACAAAACTTGCTCTCCCATGTAAAATTCTCCAATTATCAAATATTAATACTCTTCCGGGATATAATGGAAACCAAAATTCATTTTCCTTATTACTTAATAATTCATTCCATTTTCTTAATGCATCATAAAATTCGGAAATTTGATTAGAAGATAAATGACTCATGGTAGATCGATCATCATTATTATAACGAATTTGATATAATGTATTGGTTAAGGGATCAAGATTAAGAATTGGATAAGCAAAAGGAGTTGGTTGAATTAATACATTCGAATCACCAGCTGAATGAGAAGGAATAGGAATTGTTGAAAGTGTTTGATAAGAATTAGGATATTTTGTTTTTAATTGATTAGCCATCCAAAAACCATCTACTAATAATGATTCACCACCTTCACCTTCAAATTCAATTAAATGAAACATTTGAAGGCAAAAAAAAAAAAAATGTAAATAAAAAATAAATAAATATGAATAATAATAATAATAATAATAATAATAATAATAATAATAATAATAATAATAATAATAATAATAATAATATATTGTAAACTTACCCAGATGGATCTGTGAAATATGTGTTATCGGTATGAGCTTTTAGAGCTAAAGTGGTATAAGCAGTATCTCCATGTTCCATATTAGCAGTAAAATCCCAAAATTTTCCTATATAAAAATGAAATTTTAAATTTTAAATTTTAAATTTTAAAAATAAAAAATTATGAAAGCAAAATAGAAATTATTTTAAAAACCATAATGGGATTCCCGAATGAAACAAATCCTCTTTGCTAACTCTTCTGTTTCTTTAATTGTAGGGGGAACATTGTCTATAAAACAAAATCCAAATTCATCCTATTATTAAAAAATATAATTCTTAAGTTTAATATATTACATAAATATTGCTTATAGATTGCTTATTTTATAATCAACCTCTAATAATTATGTACTTTTTTTGGATCTAATAAAGGAACATTGTAAATATAGAGAAATGTAACTATAAAAATAAAGTCATATAAAAAGGAGGTTATAGACAGGGTTAAATGATGTAATAAAAAAAAAAATGTTTCTTTAAAATATACATACAATATTTTTTAACCAAATTGCTAAATCTTCTTTGTTTTGCATTACCTATAAAATAACAAAGAATATTAATTAAAAATATAAAATTTTGATTTGATTACTAGATAATTTATTT